ATTTTAAAATAAACAGACATGGTTGATGTTTTATTCAGTAGCAGGTCCGGCAGCTATTTTTAAAACAAAAAAAAAAGAATAAGCTGGAACTGCAGGTGAGTGGCAGCTTCTCCCATCCTCTCCTCTCCTCACTCCATTAGCCTCTGCAGAGCCAGCCAAGCGAGGATTACGGGGCCTGCTTGCTGTCTAATTTCAGAGATGTTAAATTCACTCTGGGCAATGTGGGATTCACTCAAGAGAGTCATCAAAGTGTTGTGCTCGAGCAAACTGAAATCACTGAGGGAAATGAGGAATAAATCGGACACCACAAAAAGTGGAAATAAGGCTGGGCTTGGAGACTGTTCATGGAGAAACTGAGATTTTTTTGACCTCACTCGGTTACCAAGTATTGACAAAAGGCCATTCAGTGTCAAGTTATGGTAAAAAAACTCAATAAAGGATCTGGCATTTATAGTTTGGGGCCAGTGGGGGAAGAAGTATAGTAATAGTACCTCACGTACCAAAAGTAGAACTCATTATCTAAAATGGCCCATTTCAAAATATTTTATATGAATTATGGGTTATAATCATTGATGCATTCATTCGTTCCTCACTTTAATGTTGCAGCTCGTAAAGATGGAGCTTATTTTAATTATGTACATACTGCTGGGTAACTTAAAGGTCGAACGTATAGGATTCAGTGGCATGTAGCAGTGAGGCTGCAGATTGCAACCGACTGAAACTTCTCCTGATGCAAAAATGTGAAAAAGCAAATGGCCCTATCAGATTAGATCGATGGAACAGAGGAGCAGCTGTTTGTAAGTGAAAGAAAACTTTTCAGAGCGCAACAAATGTCAAGTTTCACTTTCACTGTGCCAGGCATTAAACTACTCCGTCCGTGACCAGAGTACATGTATAATGAATAACTGAATGGTAGGCTTTTTCCAGCAGCGCTCCTAATGAACGGCCCAGCTCTGAAAATAGAAAATCAATACATGGTAGCAGATGTTGTTATCGTGACGGGCCGCCACAAATAAATGAAACCCTGCACCTAAGCATTTAAAAAAAAACTCTATTGCATACTTGTTGCTTGTCGGCAAATAGTTAAGCTACGCCGTGCTAATGGTGGCACGCGTGCCTGAGGTTCTAAGGTAACAAAAACACAATCAGTACATTTACATGCACAGTTATAGCTCGAGTAAGCTATTTAATTGGACTACTGTCTTTGTCCCAGTATACAAGCACGGGAAGGGATTCCATTTATTGACTGAAATATGTCCGACCCTCTCAGCTTAACAGACCTTTTTCCGGTTGCCCTATTACGTCAAAGACCATACAATTGACAAACAAGTTAGCTACGGTTCTAGTGGCAAACTTTTCAGCTCTGTTCATTTCGACCGTCAAACAATGCATGTCTCTGGATGTAGATTTCACCAAGTTGTGACCAGCTTCTCTTTCTGTTACACATTTAATGCTTTCAACTTCCAGGTCAAAGCCCAAGGCGGACACTATGACTCCCAATCACATTATTCAGTGTTAGTCGGACTTTGAGAAATTCCATTTAGTACAATTTCAGTCAAACTAACATTTACATGTGTTTTAAAAGTCCAATTTCAGTTGGACGAACACAATAAATCGATTTTCTGTGATGTCACGTGAACATACTGAATGTCTTAGTTTCATGTGATTACAAACTGATGAAAACAAAGTTATGAATATTCCAATTCTGTCAGTATATTCCCCTAAATCCTACACACTGGACCTTTAATGTATACTAAAACATATTAATTTATTAGTTGATTTATATTTTGTATTAATAATCTAAATCTATGGCGACTAACAGACTAACTAAATATTTTTATCAATTTTGTGAAGCAAAAACTACAGTATTTGCTTCCTAACTATAGGAATGTTGACTATAAAATAGTGAAAAATTGAAAATACTTAAGTACAAGTACCTCAACATTGAACTTAAGTGCAGTACCTGAGTACATTTAAACTTGGCATCACTGATTGGGGTACCAGTGATCAATCTCAGAACCGTAACTCTTAACTGCTTAAACATTTGCAGAATATGTAAAATATCAGCATTTGTAGGAATACATTTTGCTTTCTTGCTAAGTGTTAGATATTCTTATTATATGTTGGTTAAATAGGAAGCTACAGCCAGCAGCCTGTTAGCTTAGCCTAGCAAACTGGCAACAGTGGGAAACAGCCAGCCTGGCGCTGCGCTAACAAAAACTAAAGCTCACTAATGAACACATTATAGCCTATTAGTGTGTTTAATCTGTACAAAAACAACCCAGCCAAAACATAGTCATGTGTTATATTCTCATTATATGTCTGTTAAATAGGAAGCTATAGCTAGCAGCCTGTTAGCATAGCCTAGCAAACTGGCAACAGTGGGAAACAGTTAGCTTGGTCCTGCGCTAACAAAAACTGTCTGCCAGCACGTCTAAAGCTCATGAATGAACACATTATATTTAGTATGTTTCATTTGTACAAAGGCAAACCAGCCAAAATATTGTCATGTGTTATTGTCACTGTATGTCTGATAAACAGAAAGCTACAGCTAGCAGCGTGTTAGCATAGCCTAGCAAACTGGCAACAGTGGGAAACAGCTAGCTTGGCCCTGCACTAACAAACCTACCTAATATGTTTAGTGTTTTTACCTGTACAAAAACAAACCAGCAAAAATATAGTCCTGCATTAAATTCCCATGTAAAAACTGCAAGTAGTTGTTTTTACACTAAGCTAAGCTAACTGTCAGCTGGATGTAGCTTCATATTTAGTCTGCAGACAGAGTGGTATTAAAAAACATATTTGTTAATTGAATTTAATGATTTAGAAGTTCTTTAGACTGATCCGACAAGGTGTTTTCCTGACTATGTTTTTATAGCTTGTGTTTACATTTCAAGTAGCAGCTTTAGCCTGTAAAGCCCTGCATCTGTGTTGCTTTAAAATGCATACAGGGGCTGACATTTGAATAGAAAAGCACATGAGCGAGCAAATCTACAAAGCTCCTAACAGTAGGTTTTTTGGGGGGTTATTCAGGAGTAAGGATAAAGATTTGTATTTGCATACTCTACAATAATTCACTGAGCCAATGTTGGTCCTTCAGTAGATTTTCTCTGAAAATATTTCCCTACCAGGCTGAAGAAAGGAACTTGCCAGCGGTCCAAATGTGTTTTAATTATAGATGACTTAATGAATAGATGACTAAATTCTCTCGGCTACTTAATTCAGCTCAGCACAGCAGCAAAGATGCATGTTCAAGTAGGAATAAAAGGTGCTGTTGACCATATCTAAAGCTTTTCTCAGTCTCCCTTTATTCTAAGAAATGTTTTTATAAGATCTGCAATGCTTCGCACTCTTTTTTTCATACATATTACATCATTAAGAGTTCATCTGACGGACTGTATTAACATAATATGTTAATGATGAAATTATACCATCATTTGTAAGTCAAAGGCTTCATTACGTGAGTGTTTTTCACTGGATATTAGACAATTCGTTTTTCACATTTTAAGTTACACAAACACCAAAATAATCAAAAGCCAATCTCTGTTGGGAACACACACATGCTTTTGCCAATGCACAGATACACTGGAAAGTTTTATACAAATGAACAGATGGCTTGTCTTGGGAGGACAAGGTGGTGTGTTGACTCATATTCTACAAAAGTTTGCCACTTTTAAGTTGTGTGGCAATTTCACATGCCTTCATTTCACAAGTTACCTTTCGTAAACGTTTCTCTGGTAGTTTTTTGCCGTGAAAAGGGAAGTTGAACAGATGAATGTTTAGGGGTAATTTTTCATTCATCAAAAAATACCTAAAAGTCTGCTCACCTTTAACTGATGGTTAGGTTTTTTTTCATAATCTGGGATGTGGTTTCATGTTGTTGGTTTCGTTGTCTCATAATAGCCACATTAAAAAATGCCAGCCACTGGAAACCAGCAGAAGTGTACTGTTCCTTTTTATTAGAAATCCGCTATTAAAGTCTGTGTTTCACTTCTGATATGATGGATATGATCCTATTAATTTGCATTAATGTGGGGCTGATTAAATTCATGCTGCGTATTTTTTTTCATCTTAGCTGATTGCAATATTAATAACTGATGTTATTATAACTGCTGGTGTCACTGGAGTATTTTTAGCATCCCATGCTGCTCCGAATGCCACTTCTTCGCATATTTTATCACAATTAAATGAAAGATGATGACAGCTTGTCAATCGATACGTCTCTGTGTCTTCCAATGTTTCTCCCACTGACACATATACACACATTTTAAGCTAGCATACGTGACCCTGTCCTCTCATAAACGCCTAATACCATGTGCACCAGGGTCTGGCAGCATCCCCTCTCTTTCTCTCTCTGATTTCTGAGTAAATCTCCTGGGGACTTCACAAGGGCAGCAGCAGGGCTGTCAAAGAGCCGCAGACAGCTTCACAGCACTACAAGCGGAGTCCTATCAAAGTAATGAACCCGAGGCCAGACTTTTAACCCCTCATAAAGTCTGCACGCTGAGGCATATTCACTATAATGAGAGGAAGTGATTAAAGAGCTGGGTCATGTTGCTGACTTCAGCTTTGGCTTGGAGTTTGGGAGCGTGAGGAAAGCTGCAATATGACCTGAGACTGTGTTGAATTGCACCAGGAATGTGATCTACTAATGGCACTGTAGACGTGATCCAGAGGCCACTGGAATAGTTATAGTGAGAGAATGAACTAAACACAGATTAAGCACACTGGATTACAGCTTTTATAAATCTTTGCAAACAGAACCACAAGCACTGGATGCACCAAGACCATCATTATAATTTAAAAATCCACTTATAAATAATTTTGACTAAGTTCCATGATTTCCACACAAAGACAAGAGTGGGCGTTGAAGCACATTTGACTAATTCAATTCGGTCTTTGGGGACAGCTGGTGAACACAGTGAGGGTGGACGCCGGCTGTCGTTACCAGGAGCCAAACCTCCACCTCATTCTGTTTTCACCGAGCAACGGTGCCTTACCTTTCCAAAGTCCCTGACGTCAAAGAGGTCAAAGGCCTCGAACATCTCGCTTTTCTTCATGCCAAATTCCTCGCTGCACGCTGCCAGGAAAGTCCTGATATTCTTCAGGCACAGGAACTGTGGTGGGAAGACAGAAAGGGTTCATCTGTAAGTGAGTAATGTGTTATATTTCATTTTCAAAGAGCTGGATGCATATTTTTTCACTGTATGGCTTCAGATAGTGCTGTTTTTCTGTTCTGACTGCTACAGTAGCTTTCTGGCTGTCTAATCAGGGCGCGCAGCCGAGGACCTGCTAGACACACTGGAGGACAACAGCTCTGAAAGATAGATGAGTCAGTGTTTATAGGCACCATGAGAGCTTCTTGTTTCATTAATATGATGTATTTCCTGTTGAAATAGGACAGTGGAGTGATGCGTAATTAGGAAGAGATAATTCAAGACAGAGATCTTATTCGCTCCTACTGGTACAGTATGATGTAACCACTAAGATTATATCTCGCCTCATATTTGCAGGTTGACAGTGCAGTACCATTGTAATTTACTCCCACTGTGTTCTTTTGATTTTTCACCTCTCTGTTTACAGATGGCCACAAATGTTCAGTCTGCTCACAATGGTCTAATTAACACTGAATTTGGCAAAAAGCAAATCAGTACAGTTGAGACAATAAGTAGCCATGACTGCGATATTCTTTTATTGTGGTTGTATTTTTGGTTCCAAAACCTACATGTATGGATGGACTACTGAATGGGCCTACTGGGCACAGGCCCAGGGGCCCAAAGTGTCAGGGGCCCACCTGGCATTCACCTGCAAAATGTCACTCAAGAGATACCGACCTGGAAGAAACTCAAAATGACCACAAAGAGATGCAAAACAGCCACACGGAGACACAAAGGGACTCACAAAGACTATGATAAGAGACGAAACAACTAACAAAATGACTACAAAGACATCTACAATGACAGCAAAGAGACACAAAATGACTACAAAGAGACACAAAACAACTACAAAGACTTCTACAATGACAGCAAAGAGACACAAAATGACTACAAAGAGACACAAAACAACTACAAAAAGACTCAAAATGACTACAAAGAGACACAAAACAACTACAAAAAGACTCAAAATGACTACAAAGAGACACAAAACAAGTACAGACGGACTCTAAATTACTGCAGAGATGCAAAACAACTACAAAGACACTCAAAATGACTACCACAATACACAAAACAACTACAAAGAGGCACATAACAAGTACAGACAGACTCAGAGTGACTACAAAGAGACACAAAACAACTACAAAGACACTCAAAATGACTACAAAGAGACAAAAAACTACAAGGAGACACAAAGAGACACAAAACAACTACAAAGACACTAAACATGACTAAAAAGAGACAAACTACAGAGACACAAAGAGACACAAAACAACTACAGAGAGACACAAAACGAGTACAGACAGACTCTAAATGACTGCAAAGGGATGCAAAAAAACTACAAAGACACTCAAAATGACTATAAAGACACACAAAACAACTACAAATAGTCTCAAACGGACTACGAAGAGACACAAAACAACTACAGACACTCAAAATGACTACAAAGACACAAAACAACTACAAAGACATCCACGATGACTACAAAGAAACTCAAAATAACTACAAAGAGACAGAGATAACTACAGAGAGATGCATAAGAACAACAAAAAGAGGCTAAACAACCATAAAATCTGTGTGTCTTGCTCCTATGTAGGAGAGGTGGTGGGGCCCTCTGCTTGTCTGTGCCCTGGGCCCCACTGTCTCATAATCCGCCCGTGGCTACATGATGTGGGTGACGCTCTTTCAATCAATACATCGATCGGTCTCTGTAGGCGTAACTCTACTCTTTATTTGTTCACCGCTCATTTCTCCTGCCCAGTTCTAAGAATGTCACCAGTGTCATTGTGAGCATATTAGCATGTCGGTGTTAGCATTAAGTGGTCAAGCTAAGTATCAGAAAAAGAATGAGAAACAGTTTTTGGCCGGGCAGGTTTGCAAATACAAGGAATTTATCTCCGTGATTTGATGCAAAACAATAAACACAATTGCAACAGTGTTCCTAAATCACCTCAAATATGAATGTGATATTTCTGCACTGCAATATCTTGTGACCATACTGTAAACCCAAACACTTTCACAATAAATACAGGGAATTCTGTTGCAGTCAATTACGTGTCTTAATTCATCCCGTTGTTTTGACACAATTTGAGTCATGGACTAATTTACATAGAAGATAACAAGGTTGTTACCAACCATAAAGCAACACGATGTACAAAAGGTCAGGGAGCTCTTCCTCAGCTCATTTTCATACACTGTAAGCTTAATTACAGCTGAGCGTGCACCTTGACCCAGGAAAACTGAATCAAACAATCAATAAGAAACTCCTCTAATAAACAAGGTCATTTACTGAGTGTGTTTTCTGCCTCGTCTGCAACCTAAATCTAAATCTCACTAATGATGTTAATGGGGCTTCATCCAGAAACGATTAATCCAAATTATGCAGCAGTTAGCGCTGAATGCTGCCCGACGACAGCAAGGACGCCAGCTAAACTGGGAAAACTGGGGGGTGGGGGCAGGCGCAGAGTTAAATAAGGTTCATTCTGTTTGTGATGAGTGGACAGCAGTGAGTAAAGGGGAAGGTGTCAACATTTGGTAGTTAGCCAATGTGCTGTGACTTCCTGTAGCTTATACAGGATGGAACAAAAAGAGCGCTAGTAGAAGAGGTGGTTGGGGGGGTTGGGGAGTTTTTGCCACATCGCTGTCCACCACAGTGCTGGGGTTGTTTCACCAGATGACGCCACCTTTAAATCTGCATTTTACTGTGTTAATGTTGCACTGAAACTGTCCAATGTTTGAAAGAGTAGAAGCTGGTATCCTAACATGCAAATATTTGCAGTAAGTCAACGCTCACCTTTCACAGGCGGATCATTACACATGGGTAATGTGGCTTCATGCAAAGAGATGCTGGCATGGTGGGACTGGTGCGGAGCTATATCAGTGTCAATATTGGCATGCAGGGTACAAAGACAACATATCGCAGCCAACACAAAGGCATGCAGTGCAAAACTAACTGCATTTGATCAGTGAGGCGTTATGGCTGCACCAGTACAATGCCCCGGCATCTGAAATGAACACACATTGAAAACACTGGACTGCTGTACATACAAAGGTGGATTCAGACAGTGCTCGAAAATGGACTTGACGCATCACAGTTACAGTAAAATGGCAGCTATAGGCTTGTTGTCCTCATCCTCTTTAGAAAATGTCACTATATTGCTAACTTAATTAAGGTGAGAGTCTGAGGTGCATGGGAGCAACCCAGGAGGACTGCAGCTGCATCATCCCCTTCTTCTTTATGTTCTTCTTGGGTAACAGGTTTACAGGAAGTGGATTTCATTAGGCATTTCCTGTTTCTTAAAGACAGCATAACCCCACGCCACACTGCTAATATGTGGAGTCCGCACTCAAAGGCCCGACTTCGACTTAACAACCTTAAATAATTCAGTCAGTGTCATCTTGGAAAACAAACGGCTCGTGACAAGACGCAGGCAAACTTATTCTGATATTCATAACACACCTTCACCCTCGTGGTAAAAAGCAAAATGAGATTTGTCAGTACGGCGCATGTCCATGCATCAAATATGAAATGCCTCTCCACTCCAATTGAATTAGGCTTTACAGATGGCTTCACAATAGAGAGAAAAGCCCCCAGCCAATGAGCTCCAGATAAGAGGCAGTGTAAAGCAGCCGGCGAGCAGTGAGTGAATAATATCGAATGTTTACACTTGTACACATCACTTTCTTTTATCAGACAAGCACATCTTGTCTGCCTGGAGTCTCTGGAGAGTCCCATAGGACCTCGGCATTATTATCTGAGGGAAGCAGCTTCACAGAGCGCATATGAAAGACAGTGTCTCTGCTACACTGAGCTGAAGACAGTAGAGGGGGAATTGTATTAACAAGAGTGTAGCAGCATGAGGCAACCAGTAACTGTTCCACTGGCAGCTCTTCTTCTGCATTAGTGACTCTCTGGGGGCTCAGCGAGTGAATGGCCTCATAACATGTGGGTGTGTGTACACACATCTGTATCTGCCTGTGTGTGCTGAAGCCTTTCTACATGCATAAGCCAGTGCCATTATGGTAAACTAAAATGAATTTTGCCATTTTGTAACATGCACTTATTCACTTTCTAATCGAGAGAGACTGATACCACTCTTGTACGCTAAATATGAAGCTAGCCAGTTAGCTTAGCTTAGCACAAAGTCTAGAAGCAGCTAGCCTGGCCCTCTCTGAAAGGGACACCTCACTGAGATCACTACTCTATTATTCCCTATTACTGTCTCTATTTCTTGACTTTACAGGTTCAACAAACACAAAAGTACAAGATGTTCACTTGTTATATCTTGAGCCAGGCTGGTTCTTCCCCACAGTTTCCTGTATTTGTGCTAAGCTAAGCTAACTGGCTGCACATCCATGTTTAGCACACACACAGCTGAGTGGTATTTATCTTTCCACACATCTAACTGTCCTTAAGCGAGTTAATATTCGTCCCCAAACTATCCCTAACTAACTTTAAAGCTGGAATAAAACAATACTGTGCATGAAAGCCAAAAAAATATATACATTTGCTTAGGAAGACCATGGAATGCAGTTGAAATGGGAAAGCTAGTAAGTGGACCTTTAGTTAGAGGAGCTGCATGTGATATTCAGAGCAAACTATTTGCTGTGTAAAGATACAGTGATGGCAAGTTATGCTCCCTCTGTGTATTGTAATCCAATGACAAGATGTGCACTTATTATATCTTGAGCCAGGCTAGGTCTTGGTCTTTACCCCCAGTTTCCTGTCTTTATGCTAAGCTAAGCTAACTGGCTGCAGATCCATGTTTAGCATACAAACAGCAGAGTGGTATTTATCTTTCCACACATCTAACTGTCCTTAAGCGACTTAATATTCTCCCCCAAACTACCCAAACCAACTTTAAAGCTGGAATAAAACTTGAAAAATATTTTTGTATGAAAACCAAAAAAAACAGTTACATCTACTAAAGGGGAAAAGCTAGTAAGTGGACCTTTAGTTAAAG